TTTAAATTAAATAAATATTTATTGAATTATAATAAAAAATATTAGTCCAAAGACTTTTGCACCATACTGTATATATAATATAGGCTTATACAATATATTTTTATACAATATAATGAAAATATTTGTATTCTTTTTACTTAATATTTTAATTAATAAAATTATTGATTTCAATTATCATACAAATTTGAAATAATAAACTTGTAAAACTTTAGACCTAACAATAGTTTTTGTTTTTTTAAATAATTATTTAAAATGTTTTTTATTAATAAAATTTATATATAAGAATAAGGTTTAAATATTACAAATTATTTAATTAACTTAAAATATTGAAGAAGTGTCTCTCCAATTATATATGTAAACAGATTGATTATTATTATATTTTTTTTAAATAGTAGAAGATATATCTCTATTGAATTTTAATTCAGATTATAAAGTTCAGATGTTATTAATACAAACAAGGGGACTACATGTTTTGAATTCAATGCAATAAGTTCGAATTGTAAATAATGAAAATATATACAGTATATTTGTAACAGAAAAACTATTCTATAATGAATATGGTCACTTGAACATATTCTTTTATTAATTATTATATATATATATAAGAAACTCGTGCGCTACGTGAATTCGAGTATTTTATAAAATTTGGTAGTCCGAAAAATGACGAATAATATAATATAAAATAATAAAGTCATTTGATACATCTTAAATACAGTACTTGAATCGAGTCCCAACGCTATTATAATAAGTTTATTTAAACCATTTTATTAGTAGTATTATCGAAAAGAAAAAACCTTAGAGTTTCATTCAATAATTTTTACTTCAAGTTTGCTTTATAAAAAACTACGCAAAAATATGATCAAAGAGAAATATATTTCGCATTATTCCTTTATTAGAAAATCATGTATCACAAACACCCAATTATTTACATCTTTTGCTGATGATTAGTTTAATACCCGAACCAGTCCAGATCAGTTCGAAAAAAGCATTCAAGCCCGGCTCAAAGACCAGTCCTTAAAAAGACCTAAATAAAAAACCCGAAAAGTTCCGGAGACTACAAGTAAACGGCTTGATTACTACTACTAATAATAAATAAACTTTTATTTTTTTTTTTTATATATCAAGCGTGACAAAACGTTCATGTGATATTCTAGATCAAAAAGAGTTAAATTTATTAATTAAAGTCTAATGACTGAAGACGTGATTGGCAACACAAAACCTTATTAACCACAACTTCCTTTAAAGTAAATTCCATTAAAACGCATTAAAGTTATGAAATTCACATATAAAGAAGAAAATAACCTGCATAAAATTTTTCTATGACTAGATTTGTGATTGTGATATAACAATGAGTTCAAGTGCTTTTTATATACTACATTGTCTTTAGTCACTACGAAAATAATAACTTTCTTTCCATCTTTTCCCATCAAAATGAATAAATTTTTGTCAAAAACGTTATTTGCGATGTTTTTCCTATCATTTTTATCTTTTGTTTGTATAATAACACCAGTATTAACCAGTGAGCCAAGTCTATCGCTATTGTCCTTCTTTTCACTTGAGGATGTTATTATCCAAGTTGAACCAAGAGTTATTTACCAACAAAATTGGAATAAAAAAACCGATCATACACATTACCGAAATCAGAAAGTTTTAGAGAAACTTACAGACTCCGGTTTGGATCTGAAATGGGAAGGAAACAGAGATTATAGCGATGGAAAAGAGTCAGAATATCAAGGTTTATTTAATGATCTGTTGTGGTAAAAATCTATTCGGCTGAACAGAGATCTTTAGGTAAGAAGTGCATCACGGTTTTTAACTTTTGTGTAGCTAATTATTGACTTCCTTCGATGCACTTTACAGACTCACTCTTTACCCCTTAATAGGATATTTGGTAATTAAACCAAAGAAAACGCGATTTTTGAAATAGAAAAAAACTTTGAGAAGGCGAAGCAACGTTAAAAAATTTGATTTAATATCCGAAACCTGAGTTCAAATATTTACTTTTAATATAATTGCTTAAACTTAAAAATATTGCATATTTTATTATAATAAATTATTTTAATAGTAGTTTTATTAGATTTTTATTATATTAAATCAGATGGGTTTAAAATATTGTATATACAGTATATATAATATATTTATTTAATTAAAATAAATATAATTAAAATAATAGATAATTATTTTTGAAAGTACTAAATTTAAAGGTTAACTTCTGAATTGTTAAAGTGTTATCTTTGGAATTGAAGGGAAAGAAGTTTATGTATTTTGGTTCAAAAAGGTAATATGTTAAAGGTAGTGGTTTTTTTGATAGTAGAAGTTCAAAGAAGACTTTTAAAGTTTGGAGGGCACTTGATAGTTTTAAAAAGATAGTTTTTTGAGTCAGAAATTCTGTTTAACTTATTGTATTTTTTGATTGAAAAGATTTTCTTATATTTTGAAAGTAAATCATTGAAGCTTGTTAAAAGTAAAGAATTGATTTTAAAAAAGTTATTTAAAATTTTTTAAAATTTATAATAGAATCTGAATATGCATAGAACTGAAATGAGAAGTGATTTGTTTTGTATAAAAAGATTGCATAGAAGTTTGATTTTGATATTGAATAAAATTTTAATTAAAAAAATTTTTTTTTATTTTGAAATTAATAAAATTAAAGTTATATTCTTTTTTATATTTTTTTGAAAAGTCTTTTTATTTCATTAAATTCTTTTTGATAAATTGGTTTAATAGTTTTTTTGAAAATAAAAGAGTTGAAAAAGATATAATATTTGGATTTTAATTTATTAAAAATAAATTAAAGAAGATATAAAAGATATTTGGATAGTTTTTTAATTTTTGTAATAATTTTTGTGATTAAAAAGATATCATTAGATATTAATAGAAGTTGATTTGCTAATGTTTTTGTTTTATAATAAAGAATTTCATATTACTTGATATCTCAAATTTATTATAATTTTTTTTTAATTTATTAATTAAAAAAATATATTATATATTTAATTGAAATAATTAATTAATAATAATAATAAATTTGAAAAGTTAATTCAAATTAATAATATTTTTAAAGTTGATAAATTGTAATTGGCTTATAAACTTTATTTCATTAATGTCTATCTCTTAAATAATAAGTTATTTTTTTTATAATAATTAAAATTTTTTAATTTAAAGTTACTTTTTTTTTTTTTTTTAAATAAACAAAATGTTTTTCTAAAAATTTATATAATATTGGTTTTAATTATATATTATCTATTAATAATATTTATTTTTTATTTATTAAATAAAAATTTAAAGTTTAATTATAATTATAAACAAATTTTTTAATAAAAATTAATCTTAAACAAACTTAAAATTTTTTAAATTAAAGTTTATATAATTTATAATCAATTTTATTTATAAAGAATAACTTTAATTATTATAATTTTAATAATTTAATTATAAAAATTTTAACTTGTATTAGAAGTAAAATAATTTTTTTCTTTGAAATATATTAAATTTTATATAATTTTTTATATTAAAATTTTAAACACAAAGTTTAAAGTTATTTATTTTGAAAATTTCTAAATAAATTTTAATTTTTTACTTAATAAAGTTAATAAAAAATATCTTAAATTATATTTTTTATAATATAAGTAAATTATAAAAATTAATATTTAAAAATTTAAATATGTAGCAAATTTTTTTATATTATAATTTAAAAGATAAGATTAGTGATAGTAATAAAATTATATAGTAAATTAGTTATTGATTAATTATAAAAGGTGTTTAAATATAGACCTATAGGTCTGTAGTATAGTGGTTAACACTCCACAGGTCAAATCACAAGATACCAGTTCAATTCCATGTGAGAGCAGTTGAATAGAATTAATATGGTATCTAACGCCATAACCTGTTAAACACTATTTCTTATATGAAACTGTTTTACATGGTGATTCAGTGGGTGTTAAGATTGTAATTTCCAGAAAAGGTGATAGAACGTAATGATTGTCCAGTGGAAGTTATAATGATTGTTGCCAAGTTTGATATAATTCCCAGTTTCACAATAGGCCGTTTCCCTTCCCATATAGTTCATAAGACTATAAAAGAAATACATTACAGAGGACCACAAACCAGAAAAATTGAATAGCAAGACTATAACACAATCACCCTTTTAGCATAAGTTACGACTCGCTAAACAATACTCACCATTCTTACCTGTAGTGAAGGTACTCAGTTGATAACGTTTGTCAGAATGAAAAATCTCCCTAAGACCTAACCTGACTTTGGAGAAGTTGCGCCTTCTTAAATAAGCAGCTTATGCTTGAAGCCCAGTATTATTTAAAGAGATTGGATCGTCAACTCCAGGTTTAAAGGTATTGAACCAAATCTTGGCCATAGGTTCCATCTGCTTTCTAAACAGTGATCCTCCAAGCTTAACACCTCATAAAGAAAACTGGAAAAAGACAAAGATACAGTACTCCGATAGGTAATCTGCTTAGTATTAAAGATCCTTATTGAAAGGTTTACATCTTGTGGCTAGAAGATATAAGAAAATGTTTGAGTGGCAGACTATACCCAGATGACCTGATAACCTGTGAATAGATTCTAGTTTAGATATAGGTTTAGTATAGATTAACGTTGTATATACTTTATATATAATGACCTATCTACGAATAAACCGAACTAGAGTATTGTCTTATTTTAGCAATTTAAAAAAAAAAAGGTGTTTAAATATAGTAAATTTATAAATAAGAGATACAAGTTAAAAAGTTTTATTAATTTATCAATTATTTTACTAATTTTAATAAAATTGATATATTTAAATATGGTTAAAATAATAATTAGAAATTTGTATATATAGTCCCCCTCAATAAATGAAGGACCACTTAAGAATTATTATAATTAAATGGAAATAGTTGTCATATATTAAACTTTTTATTTTATTAATAAAAACAATTTTTTTTTTTTAATATCAGAACAGCTATTAGTATCTTTATTACTTATAAGTGATTGCTGTATGATAATATTACAAATCTAATAACTAATATACATCTCTTTTTGCTAAGAAGAGTCTAATGTAAGATGCAACAAAAGTGATCCGAACCATTCCAGTATTGTCCTATAAACCCACCTAAGCACTAATAAAATGTAATATTAAAACCTAGACTTAATACTTAGACAGGTGCCTAGTGTGAACTAGGAAGAATTAAAAGTATCCAAACATATGAAGACACTGCAGCCAAATATACAGGTTGGCCTCCAAGTCATGAATGGAATTTGGTATGCTTGCTTTCCAAAGTTGGCTTGATGTATGGCAGGCGGAAAAGAGGAAAAGAGAGTTGATTTTTTTACGCATGAAGATACTGTAGCCACTTTTTACAGGTTGGCCTCCAAGTCACATAAAGGGTTTGGCATATTCATTTTCCAAGTGTAGCAAAAGTGTTCAATAGATAGAGTTGAATTGAAATTTCTTAAAGACATTGTTACCTAACCATGCACATGGACCTACATTGTCAAGGGGTGATTGAGGAACATCTGTTGTCAATACCAGCTTTGTTTGCAGGAGTAACTAGAATCCCTGGTCATCACATGTCATCTTACTAGGTATCCCAGACACCAGCATGTCACTTATAGAATTCTACACTGGCATTGGCTACCATATGACTGGATATAGTGGGCGCAACTCCCTGGAAGTTCAGATGACAATAGTTGTACAATGGCTTTTTAGATGTATCTAGTCTAACCATCAACAAGTAAACAATGTCAGATATGGTAATAATGACTATACTGATTTTTTGGAGGGGTAACCCATCCATCCTTTTTCTAAAAAATCATAGAAGCAAGAAACTTCTTAAGGTCCACAACATAAAAGAAGTTACTACTTCTTAATATGGT